AAAAAATGTTATGTGTTGCATGACGGTAAGTTCGGGTGTTAACACTCGAAGCTAGGCCGCTATTTATTATCAATTGTTGTGTTAATTGATGATTATGATAAATGAATATTATGGATGATTATGAGTATTGAACCTACTGATTAAAATAAGTATTTATGATTGAATCATGAATAAAATGAATACATTTATAATTATGAAATGGTTTGTAGTGTTAAGGCTATCTAGAAGAACTCTAAGGTATACACATTTAGAATATTGATGTTAAGGCTATCTAGAAGACCTCTAGAATAGATCTCATATTAGTGTGGATTTGTGAAACATGAATATTCGATGAGTTAGATAAAAATGTATAAACGGGATTCGTAGACTAAGCTAGTCGCTCGTTTGGAAATACTTCGACTCAATGATGATTAATTATTGTCTTATTGTTGCCTTAAACTAATTATAGTTTAAGCGTCTGAGTATTGATTGCCTTAAACTAATTAAAGTTTAAGCGTCGGAGAACTGTTGCCTTAAACTAATTATAGTTTAAGCGTCTGAGAAATGTTTGCCTTAAACTAATTATAGTTTAAACGTCTAAGAATGAAATTATGATCTGGTCTTAGACTAAGAATAGCCAAGAGCATTATTATGATTTGGCCTTAGACTAAGAATAGTTAAGAACATTATTATGATTTGGCCTTAGACTAAGAATAGTTAAGAGCATTATTATGATCTGGCCTTAGACTAAGAATAGCTAAGAGCGTTGTTATGATCTGGCCTTAGATTAAGAATAATTTAAGAGCACTATTGAAATAGTATCTGAATTGAATAAAATGTGTTGGTATGAACTGAACAATACCAAAACTGTGAATGTCTTAAATGAACATTGTGTGCATGATATCAGATGATTTGATTATGAATTTAGATTCAGTTTATATGGATGTTCGACGCATTAGATATGCTTACTCAGCTTTACCGCTGAGCGTGTAGTGTGTTTTATTTGCTACACGCAGGTACAACAGAAAGAACACTGTGATCCTCGCAGCAGATGGGGCGAGATTGTCGGGATGGATGTGACAAGTTTGAAATGATTTATGATATGTCAAAATTAAATTCGCTTCCGCAATATTGTTGAATACTCCGTACTGTATATGTTATGAAAAATTATTGGGATTAATAAAGTGTGTTTGAAAAGTTTTAAATTTTTACGATTACCAAGTTAATACTTTAGTCCGGAAGGGGCTGCAGACCTGGACGGATTAGGGTGTTACA